TGAAAGAGAAAATAGTTTATAGATATTTAAATCAAATCCAATATTTGTGCTTGCATTATACATCTTAAACCAATTTACAAAACTGCAACACAAAAATAACTATTAAACCAAACAATGGTGGTATAGTAGTAAAAGAGTAAAGGCACGTATTTTTTTTTTATTTGTTAGATTCGATTTTTACCTAAAATTACATTCTTTAAAACATTAGAACGTGGTAAATTACTCAACGATTACATTCACATTGTAAGATTAGTCGGATTTCGGTTCAGATTCATCACATAATTTTTTTATTTGAATAGTATCATTTTAGAAGCATCATCAAACTAAGAGATTCTATTGCAAAAGTAGATTATCGGGTTACAACATGATATACAACATAAGAACAACTCTAATGACTAGCTAAACAAGCGGCTTCCAAAAGTACGATAAGGATACTTAAAGGATATAACACCTTGTCATGAGCAGAAACTGGTCTATACCCCCAAGAAGATAGTGATGGCAACAAACAACCTATTCACTCTAAACGATCAAAGCAACCTTCAATGACGAGGAGTCACCTTGAACACAAAAACTAACATTGAATTCGGTCTAACTAGGTCTTTCGAGAGCGGAACAAAGTTACAACAACACAAAATCAAGGCAAAACCCCAAGAAGATAGTGATATCAAGAAAAACAACTTGTACACGATGGTAATAGGACACTAGGAGGCGAAATCGAATGCTCTAAATGATCAAAGCAACCTACAATGCCGAGGAGTCACCTTGAAAACAAAGACTGGCATTAAATCCGGTTTAACTAGGTCCTTCGAGAGCAGAACAAAGTTACAACGACAAAAAAAATCAAGGCAAAACCCAAAGAAGATAGTGATAGCACGAGAGACGACCTGTACATGATGGCAATACGACACTAGGAGACGAAATCAAACACTCTAAAACATTGCCGAAGAGTCACCTTGAACACAAAGACTGGCATTGAATCCGTGTTATCTAGGTCCTTCGTGAGCAGAACAAAGCTACTACAACACAAAACCAAGGCAATACCACTTTCAGCAGAAAATAAATCTCTTAACCTCTATAGTAGCCAATGTCGCGATTCCAAGGGAAGATACTTGCACAATATTAAATTTGGGTTACTTATGGA